GTTGCCGAAAACAAGAAGTTCTTTATTTGTTTATTATTTTGAAAATTTAGTTTATTTTGATTATGATTGAGGCAACTGGAAATATTGTCTGTCATTTGCTTTTTCATTGTTCGTAATGATGTCTTGAACAACTTTTCGACTATTGTCTGAGCTTAAGCTGCGACCTCTTTAAATTTGCCCATGAATGATGATTTGAAGGCCTTGATTAATATAATGAAATCAATTATACGTACAAATAAAAATAGACATATCGAGGCTTTCATGAAAGATTAAATTTTAACGTGCAAATATTTTAAATCTAAGTAAGCAAATATAAATTAAATGGTTTGTTTAAAAAGTTGTAAAGAAATTTAAAAAGAGTTTTAAGTGATAATCAGAGAACATACAGGCAAATTTTTTTATGATTTTATTTTAACTTTTTATTTTTATTTTAATTATTTTTATTTTTATATTAATACGTTAGGATAAATATAGATTTACGAAAAGGCAAAAATTGACAGTAAAAACTTCTCCTTTATACCTTGTGCAATATTTTAGATTATGCTTTAATATAATGTGGTTTTTGTTTTTATTTAAACTTAATTTACAATTATTTTTGTTTCTTACTTTTTCCAATCCTTTTCCCCTACTCCCCCACCACACCAAAACAAAACAAAAAAAATTTACTTTGCAAAGGTATTTGAACGTTTGTTAAATCATGTCCTATTTGTTGATCTGAACACACAAATACCGCTAATTAATATTGTTTTATGATTTTGCTAACAAAATCAAATGTATTATATAATATGCCAAAACGCACTAAGAACAAAAATTAAACAATGGATCGACTAGAGAATTGGCTGAAGTCTATAGTTGGTTGGAATAACTCTATGTAGTTGGTGTGAGCGCTGGCTGAAGACATTTGATGCCGGTTTTGGATATGCACACAGACACAAAAACACACACACACACACACACAACAAGAAAACTAATCTCGAAATATTTGTAAAAAAAAAAATAGATGAACTTGAAAGAGTGTACCAAAATAAACACAAAAATGTTAAAGAAGAATTGGAGCAAATTTATTTTTGTAGCAAACTAACATTTTTGGTTGATGCGCCTTAACACAACAGTTAAATATTATTTGAATAATATTTATTGCATATATCCATATAAAATGTTTAATTTAAATATGCACAAAAAATACGCTTAAAAAATTATAAATACATATATTGTAATACGAACAAAATCCGAAAAAATATTGCTAACGCCGCCTTGAACTATGCAACACGATTTTTTTGTTTGCGCTGCACAGAGGAGCAACAACAACAGCAGCAGGAACAGGACGAATGTGGCAGCAGCTGCGATAATACGCTGGAATGTAAATATGCGAGAATAACCGAAGATGTACAGTGTACCTCCGCTTGCATCGTTCACACATAACATTTAACTCAATACACATCCAAGTGAAACGCAAACATTTCAGTAAATTTACTTAGTGTTTCATTTAAATTTAATTTGTAACTATTTCAAGTTGGATTTCATATTGATTACATTTGGCAACTAAATTCATTAAAATAGTTCTCCACTTATTGTATATAAAATGATGAGTAAAATTTGTTGTTTTTCTAGATTTGCCTATTTAATAAATAGATCATGAAACTAATTTCTATGTTAGCCACTCTCTCTCTGAAATAGTCTCATATTGATTTTACATGTAATTCAACATTGATTTTATATTTTAAAAACATTTCCTTAAAGCGTTTTACATACATTCCTCTGCATATATACATATCACACACACACACACACGCACACCTAAAACACATTCTTCCGCTGTCTCCATTCGCCTGCCTGCTTGTGTATGTCTTGTTCTCGTTTTCGTTATCGTTTGCTCTACTTTTTATATTTATCCACACACACTCACACTCACACTCACACACACACACACATTCAATGGAACACATAACGCATACGCAATGTTGTTCGTCCTTCAATGTCGCATCACAACTAATGACAACTCTTCCCTTTCTCCCTCTCTTAGCCTTCGACCTGAGCGCACAAAACGAGGCGAGACGCAGCTCTGTGCGCCGTCACACTATCGTTGGCTGCCAGAGCAACCTGGATGAGACGCACTCGATGCCACCCACGCGGCCCGAGTCGCGTCAGTCGGATGACGTAAGTGGCTCGTCCAAGGAGGTAAGCTACACCTGAGTGCAATTAATCTTATGACGCATCCAGAAACTTATTTAAATGCTCTGTTTTTGCGCAGCTGTTAAAAAAGACACCCGAGGAGCTGCAGTCACTGGACCAACAGCAGCAGCCGCAACCGCAGCCGCAGCAACAACAGCATCAGCAGCCACACGCCACGTCTGGAGCTGATGAGACGGCGTCGCATTCAACATCCTCGCTTGGCCCATGGAACAAGTCCTTTATGGACAAACAGACCTGGATGGAACGTGGGGATGATCGTCTGTCCGTTACGCTAGCGGAGATCGTTCACATACGTTCCGTCATGACCAAAGCCGAGCTGGAGGGCCTGCCCATGGATGTGCGCGTCAAGGAGGATGTTGAAAAGCGTCGTGTCTGCTTTCTATGCCTGCGCACGCGCTTCTCCTTCTTCGGCCCGTGGGGCATTCAGTGCAAGCTGTGCCAGCGCACCGTCTGCGCCAAGTGCTACACCAAGATGCGCATACCTTCGGAGCACTTTCGCAATGTGCCGCTGGTGCTGATCTCACCCTCGCTGCTGTCCAGCCCGGCCAGCTCGAGCACGCCATCGCCTTCGCACCACGCCCACCACATGCACTCCTCATCGACGGGCAACATCATGGACGATCAGTTCCCCAAATCTCTGATCGAGCGCCTGCTGCGTTCCGAGTCAGATCGTAAGGTGAGTGTAGCGAATGCATAAAAATGAGCTAAAGATTAATCTCTGATCCTCTCACAGACTCGCAGCACGGTCGGCAGTGCACCCTCATCGCCCAAGCACCAAAGATCAAACATGAGCACGCCGGGCATCAGTGTTGGCCCTGGCTCAGCAGCCGCGGCATCTGCTGCCACTGGTCAGGCGGTGGAGGCGTTGCACGACCAGGCATCCATGTCGGCCTCCTATTCAGGAGCCACGCGCCCCTCTGGCGTGCATCAGTACCAGCAGAAGCAGCAACACTACAACAACGCCATGTCCCGCAGCATGGAGGGACCACGTAGCCTGCCCGTGCACAGCCCGGCGCATCGGCCTCTATCGAACAGCAGCACACTGGAGCGCAAGTAAGTGCTGCTCTCTAGAGCAAGACGAACAGAGCAAAGTTACTTAACCCTACCCTTACCACTCTTCCTCGCTTATAGATCGCGTTTTTCGCGTGGCTTTGCGCTGTTCTCGTCGGGCAGCCACTTGGCACAGACGCAGCAAGATCAGAAGGAAAACCTGCGCGGTGAGCAGGTGACCGTTTGCAATGATTGCCAGGGTCTGGTCAATGAGATCACCAGTTCTGTGAAGCAAAAGCGTAGCTCGGCACGCAATCGGACGATACAGAATCTCACGCTGGATCTGACCCCTGTCTGGAAATAGAACCAGTTGAAGGCGGTCTGCAGCACTATTAACATTATACACATTATATATAAATATATATATAATAACTCACATATGCATATATTGGATGGACTGTTGTATACATAAGATTGACAGATAGACAGGATGAAACGGAGAGGACAGAAGGAGAGAGAGAGAGAGAGCGAGAGTTGGAGTTAAAGCAAGCGCTTGGTTATCGTTGTAAATCGTTAGATCGTGTTAGTCTAGTGTTAATCGTACAACCCCTAGCTAAATGAGATATGGAAGGACTTCTTTCTCTTCTGACTAGGGACATGCTTGAGCGCGCACCCCACCATATAAATACATTCGTACATACTCTACTGATATAACCTAAACATATAAATGCATCTATAAATATATATATATTAATTCATATAGATAATGAAAACCCCGTGCGATATATAATACGATGACGTTGTTTGTAATTGTTTAATTTATGTATAAATGTTGATTAGGTCTCGTATTAATGCACAGACCCGAACGGAAGAAAAACATCATATATTTAGAACGATTTACTATACCCCTTTAGCAGATATATGTGAACGTTTCTAAATAGGTTATCAATATAAAAATCAGATCCAAAGCGCTCCACAGCTTATGCCTTCGATACGCATAAGCCTTAAAGATTGAATCCTTAAGTTGCGACTAGGCAAAGTTGAGGAAATACTGTTATAAATAATGTGCTTGCACAGTTCTATTTTTTGTTTATTTGTTTTTTTCTTTTTTTTTTTCAATTATTTTCTTGTTGGAAAAGAGTAGAATTCGTTTTGTTTATTCACGTAGTAGCCCTCCTAAAAACCAACTCCCTTCAAGCTGATTCACTATTCTCATATATCATATATTATAAATAACTATAAATAAATTGCGACTAGTTTAAATTTAAATATAATTTTACACCTAATTGCAATCATAACATAGTTTAACTAAACGATATAAGAAAACAAAAACAAATTTTGAAAATTTTATGTTTCCCTTTTTTTTGCGTATTGTAATTTATAAAAGCATTTAATAATTGTAATTTATGAAGTTAATATATAAATATTAGTTTTTATTGTTTTTAAGTTAAATCATTTGTATGTATATTAATATTGCTCTCATTTAACAAACAAACACACACACACTAAGCAAAAAACGAAAATACACAAAACAGCAATAAAAAAAAAATAAAATAAGAAAAACTACTAACTACAATGTTTCATTTCATTTATGGAGTCACATTTCTCTAAAATAGAATTCAAGCGGAATGCTACTTTTTCGGACTAATGAATCACGATAAAGTAAAACCCCAAAGAATCCAAGATGCGTCATGCGAACGCTTCTCGCTTCAACTAAAAGGAAATACCATATATATGATAGATTACAAACTGATATATTTATTTTAACCGTTCTTTCAGCAAGAGTAAACAAATTATTCATAAAAGAAAATATTATGTTCAGTAATTTAAAATAAATTAGAGTTCGTCTCATATTATGTAAACTATACATATTTCTCAGATACTCGGATCTGAGACTTACGTTATTGGAAAACTATTAATAGTTGCAATTGGATGTCACAAAACGCGGTCGCTTAGAGCTAACAACTAGAGCTAACATTTTTTCTTTTTTGTTTTTTTGTTTTTCAATTTCATTCAGGTGAGGGACTCGCTACTCTGAGCGTTGCTTTTTGTTGTTATTTTTGTTGTCGTGACCGCCGTGACGCTTGCGTCCGAAGCGTTTGTTATTCTTGCCACGTGAGAAGTCACGACGCTTCTTCATGAACTCAATCGCCTTGTCTAGGAACTCTTTCTCCTCCTCTTCGGTCGCCTTACGCAGGGTGAGAGAGACTTCATCGTTGAATTTCAGCTTTAAATGGAAAAACAAATAAGAACTTCAAAGAAAATTATGATGTCTTTATGAGTGCATACCTTAGCGTCCTCCACTTTGGCAATGTATTTGTCGGCCGCATCCGCCTCCGTAAGACGTACAGAGCCCTTTGTGTCGCCCTTGTTGAACTCAATATAGGCAATATCAAAGTCCTTGACTTTTTCAAAAGCCTCGCGTATTTCCTCACGTGTGACAGTGTCTGGGGCTCCCTCGAAGACAACGATCGCGTTTTTAGGCAATTCAATTTCGGGCTCTGGTTTGGCCTCCTTCTTGTTCTTACGTTTTTCGTTCTTCTTTTGATATTCCTCCTGCTTCTCCTTTAGATAATCAATCTGCCACTTGCGCAGCAGCTCGCGTTCTTTGTAAGCGAGTTTCTCCTTTTCAAGGAATTCTTTGGCTTGCTCCTTCTTCTCGAATGTGACGAAAATGCTGCCCTTGAATTTGTACGACTTGGTGGGTTTGTCGTAATGCTTACGCATTGTCACATTGACAACCTTATCGTATGGGCTGACAAAATCGAGAATCTCTGACATTTGTGACTCCAATGGGAAGCCTTTAGCGTAAACTGTACGCTCCTGAATCTCCTTGCGACGCTCCTCGTTATGCTCAGGAACTGGGCGTTCGGGGTGACGACGCACACTCTGCTTGTCCTCGCTGACTTCCACGAGGCCCTCATCAGATTTGTTCAATGCATTCACAATTTCCTCGAAGTCTGTCGAGAGCGATGCCAAACGTTTGAATGTGACCAGCACTGAGAGTGGCACCCAACCGCCCTCGTTCTTTGTAATTTGTTCGCTAAGGAACTTATCACGATGCAAATTGGCATCTCCAAAGTAGTATTCAACTTGCCGAATAATTGCGCGCTCCTGCTTGCTGTTTTCGCCCGCCGGATTCTCTGTTTCATCTTTTTTAACATCACCATTTTTGCCGGCTTCGGACTCAACAGCTTCCTCAGCTTTCTTCTCCACTTCCTTGACTTCGGCAGTTACCTCTGCATTTACAGTTTCTTCCGCCATTGTATTTTATATTCCGTATCAAAATTATTTGAAGGAAAATGAAATGAGAAATGTGCTGCGGTACAAACACGTGTGCGGCAAGCGGCAATAGAGCTGTTGAAACGATGACACTATCGATAGATGACATAAAGCAAACAGAATTAATTAATCGATATAGATGGCTGTGAAAATGTTCAACACTGCTGTACCGATAATTCTGTTTAAAATTCAATTAGCGGTTCGTAAATCCAAATATGTCTTGCCCGAAGGCATGCTTTGACTCAACTCACAGAGAAGCATCTACATATAAATTCTGCATCTAAATGAGCCGATTGTCTGCAGCTGCTGCACTTTATATAGGGCGACCATTACTGATACACTAAGTCGCTCTCAAATGTTGTGCTCGGCGTGAAGACATGAGTTGAGCTTTAAGAGACCAATGAGAACACCCTCGCCTTCGTTTTACTCAATTACAAATACCGAATGAGTAGACATCTTTTCTCTGTCCTCTGTCTCTCTGCCTGCCTGCGTTAGTGATACTGAGCACAACATTTGAGAGCGACTTAAAGTTTGAGTAAAGGTCGCCCTATATAAAGTGCAGAAGCTGCAGCATTTCTTCAGTCGCCCATTTGGCTACACTGGTTCGTAAGGTCCGCTTAACTTCGTATTTGCTCAGTTCCCTCACTCTCAGGCTCGATCATATTAATATCAAGCCTCAAAGTCAGTGCTAATCGACTGGAGTGGACGGTTTGAATGGGAAGTTACTCCACACTCGACTTCTGTTGGCACCTTGTAATATATTATACAAAACGATAAATTAGTTTTAAATACATTTTTAATAACAATTTAGATTTCATCCACCAGGCGGAAACGTTGATGCTGCTCCTCAGGAATTACATTGAAAAATTTCTTATAAATAGTTTGACCTTGGCGACCAGCATAGTTTCGCTGAATCCAGGTGTGATCCCAGTTTGGATCAATGGGCTCACATGTGACTACAACTTTGCCATGTTCTATGGCAAATAATGTGCCATTACGCCCAAGTCCCACCTACAATAAAGGTTAAAATATTATAATTTTCAATGATATCAGTAATGGACAAGTTTACTTACGTTCAATCCGGGATGAAAGCGAGTCGTTAGTTGGGTGGCCAAAATGGTTCCATGGGAAACATAGTGACCGTCTTGCACTCGCCAACCACGATGTTTGGGACGCGGATGGCCCTTCTTGTTCCGCGTGCTACCGCCGGTCTTTTTGCTCGCGTTTCGTATTGTTGCTGTTAGGGTAGTAACGAAGTCAGGTAATTCGCTTAACATATAACATATTGTTGACTTACTTATGAGCGGTTGATCAGCCTTTAGGCATTGTAATGACAGCTTCTGCATTATACTAAACGACATTATGTTTGTTTTGCTTTTTGGTCGACTGTTTATGCAACTGAATAATAGTGTGGCCGGAAGACACTATAGAAAAAATACTATGTTATCGAAAATAACAGAATGTAAATACCGCACATAATCACAACCGTGAACAGTGTTGCACTACTAAAACACACGCATATAATTATCAAAAGCCGGCGGTGTAAATAAATTTGTTTTTGTCGGTTGAAATTATTACAAAACAATGGAAGGAACGCCACTATCCTCCAACACAGTAGCAGCAAGTGTTCAGATAAGTGACACTGCTCTTCGGCTCAGAATACGGGAGTATGCTCGCCAACAGCGAAAAGAATTGCGAACAAATACTACAGATGCACTGCGCTTTGGCTTGGGGCAGATCAAGGATAAAATTAGCGAATTGGAGAATCTTAGTATTAGAGATGTTCACGGAATGGCGAGTCGCATAAAGCGTCGTAAACATGCCACAAGCGAGGATATGTACCGGCTAAGCCATGCATTTTTGCAGGGTAACGAAAATATTAACGCCTTTGCTGGAGTGCAAGGAGCAACTCAAGTTATAATTAAGGAATTCACAGGTACCTATAGGTGACACCTCACAACTACATCCATCACTCAATATCATCCGCCAAATAGGTACACAGATGCAACGTCAAATTGAAGCAGCCGAATGCCTGTGCAACTATTCTTTAGGCGACGCACATGTCTGCGAGAAAATAACAACAATGGCCGGCAGCTACCTGGTGACGTTCTTGGACAATCAAGAGCCGCGGCTGAAGCGCAGTTGCCTTTGGACGCTGGCCAACATTTTGGCCACGTGCAGCAAGTCGGCCAGCATGTTGTTGCAAATGCAATTGGCCAGCAAATTGTGGAAATTGTATACACTGCCTGCAAGCGACACCCACGGCTATCAGGAAGATGCTGGCATTTGCTTGCATTTGATAGCCACTCGAGCAGCTGCTTCTATCAGAGAAGAGGATCGGCGTTACATTGCCGAGAACCTACACAAAAAGCAGTCAGGCGAAACTGCGGCCGAATATTATATGTATATTGTATTCCAGTTGGAGCTTGTTAACCGAGAGCGCGATTTGTGCGCAGCGCATTTTCAGCATTTGCTCGATTTTTTCATGGAAAATGTAAATTTTGATCCGAGCACAGTTGCCGGCAAGCTACGCATCGTTTACGGCGTGCGAGTGATCGCCAACATCTTTGCCACAGGTCCAGCCAATTGTCAATTAGAGTTGCAGGCGGACCAACTGGTGCACGCTTTGAATAAATTGTTTGCCTTGCGAGAGCCGGGTCTAACCCAGGATTTGATGCAGCTTCTAAAAAATCTAATCGGAGCTCAATTGTTGGACAATGAACTTTTGATGGAACACATTCGAGTCTATGCCTAATTAGCTTTTAAATATGATGAAATTTCGAACCAAAGTTCGCATGAATTAAAACGTTAACTTATGGGTTGTATATTATATACGAGTTGTTTAATGAATTTTAAATATGATGAATTTTTGAACTCAAGTTCACAAAACGAAAAATGTTCAGCTGGAATATAATAATGAATGCATTGCACTTTAAATTAAATAAAACAGTATTTTAATTGGCTGAGAACACCAGATGTATTTCTTATTCATGATGTCTGTAGAGTGTATAAATGAGTTTTGTATTTAGAGTTATATGATAATTGTTTCATAAATACTTAAACATTAGAGTCGAATTATATATTAGCTACACCAAATGAATGTTGGTATAGATATGTAGATACATATACGTCAGAGTTTCGTCACATAAATAACACAAAAATTAGAAAAATAAACAATGCACGTGTAAAGGGGACTTATCAGACTTAACGTTGTTACGGAATAAAATTAATACAAACTCAATTTCAAAATCTAAATTAGATATCGTCTTCGAATAGGGCAATAATACGACGCCTTTGGGCTTCTTCGTCCAGAGCATTGCCTGTATTGCACTGCCCATTGTGATGCATAACATTGTGAATTTCGAGCTCGCTCACCGCAGTGAATATCAAATTGCATTGGCAGCAACGGGCTGCTGATGTGGGCGTGATTGGCACCGGCGACTGCAGGTGCTGTGATGTACCAGTGGCTCGTTGCAATTTCTCCAGAAATGTGGCACGAGCATGCTCCTCGTGTAACGGTGCAGCAGTCCCTGCTGCTGTTGGAGGCCCTGTGCACCGAATTGGTATAGGTTTCTTTACTACCGGATTGGGCGTGTTTTGTGAATTGCGACTCTCGGAGCGCTCTATGGCGTATAGGACATTGTTCTCCGCTGTTATGGGTGTGTTACAGCCGCTCTTAAACTTAAGTAAACTGCTGCCGAAGATGGCATCGTCATTTGAAGATGGATAACTATCCCAGCATGTCGATGCCTTGGGTACGCTCTCCTTGATTGGCTCAATTTTCTCAGCTTTGTCGGTACTGCTGCTGCTGCTGCCATTGGTGATCTTAATCTGATTCAGTTTCTCAGCCAGCTCGCTGTCAATGGAATGTTCCTGCAACCAGGTGCACGTCTTGTGCAAAGCAAATATCATACGTCGAATGAACTCGTGTGGCGATACCATTTTTTGACGTTTTATCTCCTGCAGCCTATTTAGTTCAGCGATAAAGTTAAAAAATTGAAATTCCACACAATTGTCCAAGTGTAATTTATGCGAATCCTCGTGCATGTATCGCTTAAAACAGGCCGGGCACTTGCGCTCCTTCCACATGGGCTCGGGTATATTCACTTTGATGTCTCTCAGCTGTGCCTGTTCCATGGGATCATCCTCTTCGAAATTCGTTTCACTATAATTGTAGATATTCTTGTGCTTGCGCGACAGCGCATTCTCCTCATCGCTTGAGGTCACCGCCGCGTAGTCCTCCTCCTCACCAGTGCCATTCCCGCTGCCGGTCTGAGCGCTTGTCGATGGCATCTCCACTTTGACCTGAGTGCCATTTCGATGCTTATTAAATAGATCGTTTAAGTACCGTATTTCACGTTCACTGTTGCCGCTCTGTTGGGGCACAGTCTGATTAAGCAGCTGCTTGTGCACTTTGTCCGTTCTTTCAAGCTTGTTGTTCAGCAGGAGATTGTGCACTGGTCGTTGCTCCACATAGCGCAACTGTTCTGCTGTGATCAGTGCACTTTCCTTATCTGCTTTATCTTTTGAAGGTTTCTGTTCATATAGTTCGATTAGCTTGAGGCTGAGTGCATTTTTAATGCATTGTTCACGAAATGTTACGGCGTGCTTCAAATACGATATGCACAGTGCACAAATTACAGAAGGCAGACCGTCATCTGGCGAGATCTATAGAGAGTACACAGTAAAAGTTATATAGATTTCCAGTTTTTTTTTTCTCATTTTATTACCTTTAGTCCAGATGTTTCTTCGAGCAGTACATTAATTGGCTTCTGAAAATTGAGAAACTCATTTGTTGAGCCGTGCAAATACGTTGGTATCTTAGCAAATATATTATAGTCTGCGGGGCTGCTGCAAATGCGGCAAATATTTCCCCAATGTGTCATATTCTTTGTTTGCTTATTACTAATTTCTTAATACCGACGTCAACTAATGCTACTCTAAACAATAAAAAAGTATACAAAAATGTCGAGTGTTGCCCTATTAAAAAAAGCGATACTATTGTCAGTCAGCTGTCATAGCGTAACAGCCCTGTCTGCAAACAAGAAGAACAGATGATAAATTTCAAATAATCATTATTATTCTGATTGGTCTGCAATTGTTTAGATATAAAGAAAATAGTGCTTCAAAAAATATGATTTTTTTTAAATCAGAGTATTAAAGTTATTTAGCTTAAGTAGATATTGTGTTTACTCTACATCAATTTTTATACCGCCCCTTCGATACATCGAGAGGTCGATAGTTTTTACTTTGTTATTAGCATCGACAGCTTTGTGCAGAAATGAATAATGACAATCCAAATATTATATTTAATCCACTTATAAGCTCCATACAAAAAGTGGTACTCTATGAAACGCGGTCGGTAAGATTTGTGCAAGCAATAGATTGTATCAAGTAAATTGAGTTCACATTTATTTTCAGCGCTTGTACTTGGTGGGCAGCAACAACCGCGAAACCCGATTTCGCTTGCTCACCATCGATCGGTTGGCGCTTAACCGCTTGAGTATTGAGGAGAATGCAAACGAGTTCAACAACTTGGAGATACGCAGATTCGTGTCCTCTTTAACAGGGTCACCCAAAGTAACCTCCGCTTATGGAGTATTGGGCTTTGTTCGATTCGTCGAGGGCTACTACTTAATACTAGTGACCAAGCGAAAATGTTGTGCCCACATTGGCATGCACTTGGTGTACACCATCAAGGATACGGTGATGGTTCGCGTAAACGAGGTGACCTCACAGCGGCCTCCACATCCGCATGAGGAACGCTACAAACGCATATTTCAGAATATTGATCTACGCAGCAACTTTTACTTCTCTTACTCGTACGACTTGACCCGCACGTTGCAATACAATGAATCGGCTCCACGTTATGTTGGTAGCAAGCTAAATCTGGAACGGGACGAACCTTTGCCCGATTGGAATACGCTGACGAATAATGTGGCTCAGGTACACGAACGGGTTGACTACGCCTTTCGCAGCGTTTCACGCAAGCGTTTCGTGTGGAACGCCTACCTGCTGCAGCCGATGGAGGGCATTATGCATAAAGATTGGCTCTTGGAGGTCACACACGGCTACGTTAGCCAATCCTGCATTAGCATCTTTGGCAGGCATGTGAATGTTTGTCTCATAGCACGACGCAGCTCCCGCTTTGCTGGCACACGATTTCTGAAGCGCGGTGCCAACTTTAAGGTATGTAAGGGAATTTTAAAAAATGTATGGATCTACAATTGTACATATACTTGCAGGGCGACGTTGCTAATGAAGTCGAAACGGAGCAGATTGTCAGTGATGGACAACGCCTGTGCGCTTTCACTCAAATGCGCGGATCGATACCATCCCATTGGTCGCAGGACATCAGCAAAATGGTGCCAAAGCCGCCCATACAGCTGGACATCTGTGATCCGTATGCCCAAACGCCGTCACGTCATTTTGAGCGCCTGCTCTTCCACTACGGCTCTCCACTTATCATGCTGAATTTAGTAAAGAAACGTGAGCGGCGCAAGCACGAGTCCATTATTTCCAAGGAGCTGCAGAACAGCATAAAATATCTCAATCAATTCCTGCCGCCTCAGCATCGCATGAAGCACATACATTTTGATATGGCACGGCAGAGCCGTCTCAGCGGCGGCAACGTCATGGAACAGTTGGCCGTGCATGCGGCAAATATTATCCAGATGACGGGCATGTTTTATAAGGCGCATCGGGGCAGCGAGCTCAGCTTCCAGACGGGCATCGTTCGAACCAATTGTGTTGATTGCCTGGATCGTACCAACTCGGCCCAGTTCGCCATTGGAAAGTGCGCTCTAGGCAATCAATTAGAGCGTTTGGGGTTTGTGAAGTCAGCCAAGCTGGAGTTTGACTCGGATTGCGTGACCATGCTAGAGCATCTGTATGAGGAGCACGGTGATACCTTGGCTCTGCAGTATGGCGGCTCACAGCTAGTGCATCGCATCAAGACCTATCGCAAGACGGCCGCTTGGGCGTCGCAGGGCAACGATGTAATGCAGACTCTGAGTCGTTATTACAGCAATACATTCAGCGACACGGAGAAGCAGCAGAGCATTAACTTGTTTCTGGGACTCTACAAGCCAAAATGTAAGATAAGTCCTGTTCGAGTTCTACATTTTCACTTATATATTCTACTACTTGCAGTAAATCAGCCGATATGGGAGCTTCAAACGGATTACGATATGCACAATGCCTTTGTGCCGAGCACATCGAACGCTTCAATTACGGATTGGGTACGGCATAAGGTGCGCGAGTGCTTGCCCTTCCCCTGCGCAGACAAAAACAAGCTGGTCAAGGAGCTGTTTCGAGTGCACAGCAATGGGTTGGAGATGATTGATGCCTACTCCAATTACCACCAGTCATTCAAGTGGACAGATCTTAGCGAGCACATCGAATTCGAGATCAGCCAACTTGCCGCGCGATATATGCCCTCAAGCCGCACCAACTATAGTCCGTTTCAGCGTCAGATACAGCCGTCGCGTAAGGCCCGACAGAATCCATCGATGACTGGCCAAAGTTCGACAGGTTCCATGAATAGTAACTCCTCCAGCTCTAATGAGGGCGAGGACAGCTCCAGCGATGAGGATCTCAGTGCCAGCTTTGCCGAAAAGGAGTCCAAGCAAACGGAAACAGCTGAGCCGACACCATTCACACTAGCCTCAATGCTGCCTTCCATGGAGCAGGTGTATGGCTGCACCATCAGTCCGCCACCCAAACAGAGCATGGCCATCTACAAAAAGTACGTGCAAATGGGCAAACTGTCTAGCGGTGGCGCACAGCCAACCCAAACGGCAGTTGCTCAACGGGAACAGGAGCATGCCAAGATGATGCGAGGCATCACACTTCGTCCGCTAAGTAACTACGGCACCGATTCCTATCTCAGTGTACAACCGCCAACCGTGCCCGCCGAGAGTCAACTCATTTATGCCGAATACTGCAAGACGCCGCGGAACTTCAATGCGGTGCCCAAGTTTGAAGAGTCTGATTTGTGGAATCGTTATGTACAGCAGCTTTAAGAGTGCTTCAGTAGAAAATTGTCATGGAACTATTAAATTGGTTTCTCGATAACCTGCGCGTTATCCGACACTAAGTAATAGATATGTCATCCCTTAGTTACAGCGAATAGTATAAATGTAATGTGAGCCTGAGCCCAATGATCAAAAATAGGAATACTTTACTAAACGTCTGTGCATTCGTGTGACTGCAAATAGTTTTAAGAGTCGTTATGTATATAAGAGCTACGATTTTAGGCGATAAAGATAAAGAGTTCGATCTTGAATTCGTCAAATGTAATTGTTTAGTATTAATTTTTCTTAAGATCAACAAACTTTAGTCTCAAAGATTTTCAAAAAGTAATGTAAGCTTTGTATATACATTCTATAAGACGCATTCTTTAATGTCTAAAAACAAGTAAAGCCTGATGTATAGCATATATATTTCCCTAACTACATATTGTTATTAAACATATTATTTTCTTAAAAAACAAGAAACAAGCTGTATTATTTAAATTAAATATTATTGTGTTTATTGCTTGCAAATTAAAACAATTTATGTATTAAAAATACTCAGAGAAGGTGTTAGCAATTGAACAGGAAACAGGACGCTTTCGGCTAGGCCAAAGTCTACTTCACACTGTGCTCATCTGTCGCTGGCTGCGTCGCTTGCTCCTCATTCGACTGGTACGTGTACTCAGTGTGAACGCCGTGTGGCTCTGTATGGGATGCATGCATGGCATTGTAAGCTGTCTTCTGGCTCGGCTTTATAGTTGGCTTGTAAACGTTGCCCAGCTCCTGCGCCAGCATATACTGCTCCTGCTCCGGATAGTCGTGTTCGCAGTGGTGCTCCCCACAGATCTTGCACTCGTAAATATTGGGACGCAGTGTAATTTTAATGCGCTGTGAATATTAAAATGTTGTTAAATAGATTACAATTTAATAAAATTATATAAATCAATGGCAATTTCTCACCTCCCAGAAGGTGTCGCCGCTGCTGCGCATGAAGTTGATGATAGCATAGCCTGGTATGCAGACCAGGGATAGGGAGGCGAACATCCAGCCAATGCCGTAGGCCCAGTCTGGATAGGTGTAGCGTCCATTGTGATACGTGGGCTCCTTATAGTTGATCAAGCTCAGTATCCAAATAGCCTGGAATACACCGAATCAGAATAGTTTCTTTGCAAATCCCATTTGGCACTCACAAATAGCAAACAGGGTCCCAGTACCAGCCAACAGGACTTTAAATAGAACGACGGCGCCTTTCCCGTCATCTGTTTAACATTCTTCGAGAGTCGCCCGGTGCCGTAGAACCAGGCTATGGCAATCATCTGGCAGAAGGCCAGAAACATAATCGTCACGGAGGCAGCATAGTGATCCATTAGCTGGAAGTAGTAGATGCCGCCCTGGATGATGTTCGGCAGTCCAAACAGGCACGCGATGACGCAGACAAAGAGCACCACAATCTCGTGGTAGCCCAGATGCCGTTTGATCCACCGCGGGAAGCCGTCCTGTATGGATGTGACCACCACTTCGACTATGGCAAACTGTGAATTGAGGCCCAGACACAGCAGCATGAAGAAGAACATAACTGCCCACAGCTGGGCATATGGCATCTTGGCCATTGCCTGGGGATAGACCACGAATATCATGCCCGGTCCATCGCCAATCACATCGCGCACATTCGTGTTCTGTTCCAGCGCGAGGTTGCCCAGCGTGGAGAAGGCAAATATGCCCACCAATAGGCTGGTCCCCATATTGACCAGGCTCACCGAAATCGTGTCTCGCAGTATGTTATTGTTGTACTTGTTGTAGCTGGCGAACGAGATCATCGATCCGAACGTGATGCCCAGCGAGTTGAAGTTCTGCGAGGCCGCATTGATCCACACATTCGCGTTCTTCAGCTCCGACCAGTTGGGCCGGAAGAAGAAGCGCAGGCCCTCGGCCGCGCCCTCGAGCGTGATCGCCCGGAACATGAGAATAATGATGAGCACGAAGGGAAACGTGGCCGTGAAATAGCGCACCTTGGCCGACGATTTGATTGACTTCCACGTGGCAAAGTAGACCATCAGCCAGGCACACACGAGGCAGGCGAACAGCTCCCAGCGCATCATGCCCGGGTACTCCAGCCCGGCGCTAATCTGCAGCACTTTATTTCTGCATGCGAAATATTATCATTATAAAAGTACTCTTCGGCTCTACTCGTGTTACATACTCAAAGAACTCCTCGGAGGGCGTGCGAGAAGTGTCCGGCGCAGTGGTATTCAGCTCCTTGCGCTGTGGCACCCAGCAGTCGGGAGTGTTCCATCTTGAATGCAGGGATTATTATGTTTATTTAGCATACACTTTCGTACAGTGCCACGCCCACTCACCTGTTGTTGCAGTCAATCCACGGCATTTCCGTTTTGAACGATGTGAAAAAGTAATAAATTGAATAACCTATTATGACGCTATAGTAGGTGGACATGAGAAACGAGACAACTACGCTGGCCAGACCGGCACCTGCAAAGAATCATATTGATGTCTTAATTATATGTTTAGGTATACCTGTTGGGTTTAGATTGTGCTCGATCTGTCAATGCTCAACTTCTTGAATGGGAGCACAGACTGTGGAATCGAATGTGATATATAATTTGTATTTGCTTTTCTGCAAATCTATTTCGCTGTAAGCTAAGGATTTCAGACTGCAGCACGCATGGAGAGTTACATTTTGGATTGTAGTTGAAATTCAGACCAGTTCACTTGAATCACTTGTCTAGACTTGGACTCATCTGCATAATTGTAATTGGCCGCGTGCCGCTGCAGCCAATTAAAGCCATTTGTTGCCAGTTTGTTGGCTTAGACATGTCTATTAATATTTATTAGCTCGCATCTGGTTGCAGGTTTGACGTTTGACAGTGGGCGTGGGCGAGCTCCAGTGTGGGCGTGCCAAGGCTGTTCTATTGGCAAAATATTGTAAACAAGAGCTTTGCAAATATATCAAAATAATGCTGTTTGTTGAGATTTATGAGTGTGTGTGGCCTTTGACTGCTTTTGGTTTGCGGAGCGAGTGTACGGTGTGGTGCGGGTGGTGCGGCATCTCACAAACGCTTGCAAGACGCGTACGTATATCGCTCAAAACATTTCCGTTTCAGTTTCAAGTTACACTTTGCCTTTTCACGCCAGCCCCATACAATGATACTAACTAATTAGCAAGTGTCTCGGCTCAGTCGAATGTGAATTTCAGCTGTTACAGCAAATGGAGAACGCAAGTGCTTCAGTTTCACTGCAAGCCGAGCAAGGCTAAGCAGAACAATTATTTATAATGTTTAGACAAGGCATATTGTAGGGGATGTAGAGATCGCTTGTACTCAAGTAATATTTATATTTGAATTGCTAACAATGAAACTAAATAGTCGGGAACAAGGTATACGTCCGCTTATAAATAGGAGCTTACGACTCAACAAATTTATTAAAGTGTGTGTTTTTAGATCAATTTTGCAAGCTACTTAACTTTTCTAGTACGTATCATAAAAACTAATTTGTTATAGGACAATAAATTCAGAACTCTAAAACTGCTAACATTGGGACAAGAATATTATTTTCTATAATTTAATTTAAAAGAAAAAACATATAGGTATATATAATAAGTAGCTGATGATAGTTTACTCTTTATAAATCATATAACAGTATTTTCAACATTCAACAAAACATCTGTATATTTTGTCCAAAAATCTCAGCACTTCCATCCGCAAAAGTACAGGGTATCTTTGCACATGTTTTTCAGCATCAGTTTTCGGCTGTTTTGTAATTTGTAAGCTCAACGCGCTGTTGGCCAACTATTTGTATAGCTCTAACTGCATGTATTCTGACATTGATAATGAACTTTACCAGGCGGCGCCCATATTTGCGTTGTCATGGACACATAGGCAAATCTCATTTGGAGTTTTGTTTTCGCTCCATTGTACTATCTTGTATTCATATTTTTGTGAATGCCTTTTTTTTGTTTGCTAATTAACTAGGCGGAAAGAACATTTCTAAATTTAGTTACTCCAAGCGCGGCAGCGTGACGCATTCGCACTGACCTATAAAGCGTGTAAATATCTCAGCGAAATGACGCAATGAGTCTCAATTCTATGATATATGACAGGGAGCGAGCTGTTCACGAAATCTTAAACGGATTTGTAAATTTTTAAGAAGAGAGAATAAATGAAAGACAGAGAGAGAGAGAGAGAGAGAGAGAGAGCGCGAGAGGGATATTACTCATACGCCGCATGTTGCATCGATATAGCAGTTCCAATTATTTTGTCAGACAAACTTATATAGAATACATACTTATCTTATCGATGAATCAAACAAATTCTATACGATAAGTACAATCATCGTTAGTGTCATTATCTTTACAAATTTCGTTTGTATATTAAAGTTAAATTTCAAGTAGATATCTTAAAAGCAGCGATAATTTGGCAGACAAGAGATTACGAGACTTACCCTTAAATAGGGGACAGAGCTGACCCAGCGCACCGATGGGACCTCGGCCCGTGTATTGGCCCACAGATAGCTCCATAAACAGCAGCGGTATGCTGCATATGAAGAGTATTATGCAATAAGGTACTAGAAACACGCCTGCAATTACAAATAGCATAGAGAAACGAGAACAGCTAAGTAAGCAAATTAAATTAATTATAAATATTTGAGATCAACAATTGCAAATGTAAAAAACAAATAAACAGCTACATATGAGTCTATATAATGTGTATCATTTTATCCAGTTGTCAAATGTCGCTTGCCTCATTATACATATCTCTGTATCTGTGTGTGTGTGTGTGTGTGTGTATAATGCGGTTGAGAAATGTAAATGGGGCCTCTGGCTTCTGAGAGTGAGAGCGTGTAAATGAAGATGGACGTAGCCCCCGCCAAGTGGCTTGCGTGCCTTGGTAGTGCAAGGGGGCTGCCATGGAGGGAGGCGGTGCTCCACAGAGATGTACAGATGACAGTGACCGCTTTATTTTGTCGTCGGACTTTCATAATTTTGCGCTGAGCTTAAACAAA